AACTGCAAAAGTAGATATGAAAAAACTAACTCATAGGGTTTATAGTTATACTCCTTTTTTGCTACCTCTGTAATCCGCTTTTACTCATCAACTTGAACTGCAGTAGTCCAGTACCAGTAAATGAAAATTGAAACATCTCAACCAAAACACACACTTTTAGACACAAATTCTTGTTCAAGCTCAGTATGTATACCTGTCACACTCCTTGATGTTTACGCTCGCAAACTCAACAGCCAACAAAAAAGGCCTCAATTTTTCAAAAATATTTGTTTCTTACAAAACCTAGAACTTCTATGCCAGCCTACTTCTGTCAGGCAAAAAAAAATAAAAAACCACTATACTATTTTTCCCCATTTCTCGACACAATTTCCCAAGTGATCAGAGTATTTTGCGTCATATATACCATCCCACCTATTTTGACTCAAATAAAAAAAAAAACGTGCTCATAAAAAACGAAGACTGTCTTGGTGCCCTTTTAAATAATCCGTGAAATGCTACAGTATAAATAAGAGGTATAAAAGTATAAAGTATAAAAAAAACATATATATATATAAATTAAAAAAAAAAAAACTCGATCATGTTATTCAGCTGATAGGATATAGATTCCTAGATTAACATTTCCCAGATCAAAGACCATTTAACTGCTCATGAAAAATTCTTAGAAAGTCCATTTCAGTTAGATACAGTTCAGCCCAATAAAAGTTATGGCCCTTGTGATAACGGTGAAACAGTATGACAACATTTAACAAAAAAAATCAATGAGAGAGGCTACCTGAGGGCATGTTGTCACAAGCCTCGGGAGACGAACTAGTCTCTCTTGCATTGTTCTCCTCTTAGCAACTTCTTTCTTACCAGACGGCGAAGTGCTGTAAAAAAGTGAGTGAAACAATTGCAAGACATTCAGTCTTAACTTGTACAATAAATAGCAAAATAGCTTAGAAATACAACGGGATACCATGCTGACGCCTTTGCCGAGGCTGGTGAAGGAAGTGACGAGGAATGCGTTGAGATCCCTGTCGAAGGAATTTTGAACAGATCCAAAGCTTTGTTCAATGTATGCTCGTTTGGAAGAACCAGACCGTCATCATTTCCAGATGCCTACAAGCATAAAATATGAATAATAATTGTCAATGAACGAGATTACAAGATTAAGCAAAATCAAACTAAAAACAACTAAAAAAATAAAGGAAGTAGATTTACGGGAGCAATTTTCTGTTCAACAGGAACATAATGTAATGAGGCTCCAACTGGTACTGCTTTTTTCAAAAGTCCTTTATGGTCATCACTAACGTACATCGAAGTGAGGTGTCGATCAGACTCAGCTGCATTCGAAACTGTAATACTCAGCGGCGGATAAGTCTTGGGAAGCTAAAAATACCCGTATGTTACCAGCATAGTGTATTTCTCTAACCCTTAATAACAGTATAAAACAACGGAAAAAACGAACTTAATAGTAATAGCTTAAAAATAAAGTATCCCATAAATTTTCAGGTTATGCGGTTATCCACTTTAGTTTAATGTTAACAGCGCTGACACGGATGTACTAAAAACAGAATGGCTACACAGACTGTTACAAGCAAAATTACTGAGATATTGTTAGTAACGGTTTTGTAAAGCATAAGTTAGCAAAAGGTCAGTAGAATTTACACAACGAAAAAAAATTAGACCGGTAAAAGTTTTGAAAAATGTGAAATGGATCAGGCTTATGAAAAAATAAAGATGTCCTACTGGTCATCTCCGACCCTTTAAACCCCATTGTAACACAAATCCGCCGACTCTACTACTTCAAATTTGGCAATCGAAAGATCACAGCTTACCGTGGTTACTCTCGGTTGTTAAGCAGTAACTTCACTCTCGTTCTAAGAAAAAAAAAAGTTAAACCTTTACAAAATAATCAATCTCACCCCTTTACTAAGCAAAATCCATACCTTACACACAAAAAAAAAAAAA